TAATGTTTGCACCAGTCACATACCTTCCCATCCATTCACGCACTGCAATACCAAATTTGGTATATGTGACGCTAGCGAAATGGCCTCGAGCACACAATGAGCGTGGCATGTAAGTCATGTTACATGAGACACATGTCATAATTTTCATTTTATGGTCTCTCGTTTGTGGTCGCCTTGCAATCATGTCATACGATACCAGTTTTCCAATATGCCAAGGGAAAGAAACCACTGCAGGAGCTGGAAACCACGGAATGTAAGTCATGACATTCTTGACCTATGTTATGATTACATGTTATGACTAGTCAAATATGTTCTTCGTACAGTCATTTTATGCCATGCCAAGTTTGTTATCGATACCTATATGGAAACGGCCGGGAGAGCTAAAAGTCGTAGGCGGCTAGATAGATAGATAGATAGATAGATAGATAGATAGATAGATAGATAGATAGATAGATAGATAGATACGCTTAAAGTAACTGAAGTGCGCTAAGAAATGCTTCGCATTTAAAACACTAGCCTTCCAAAAGGTTTTGCTTCTCCAACAGGTAACACGACACATGTAGCCAACCATAAAGACACAGCTGTTACTAATGCTATTAGTAAACCGTGCCACCCACGTACAAATGCAAGGGCCTGAAATGGTATTTAGAACCTATCAGACGCGGCGAAGGCATCATGGGCCTCCCGTCTGCTCGTAGAAAGATGGCCGCTCGATTTCATAGTACAAGCAATCTGTCATGACAACAGCAAGCTGTCATGCGGGCGTGTTTATATTGGCCAAACCGGACGGATGAGTGGATTCGAAATTTATTTTGAAGTCTTGAGGTGCACTATTCAAGGTGTAGTGGGCCGCTTCCATGGCGCACGTTGAGACAGTCAAGTCAAGCCCGACAGCCGCATCGTGGGCCCTCAGGACAGCCCACAGTTGATTCTCGACATTGGGGCTCTTAATAGCGGATAAATACTTTTCTTCATTAGATTGGTATACGCCCCACAACGATAGGCAACACCAGAGCATGATGGCGTGTGAATATTAGATTGAGTGTGCATTTGTCATCGTTGGGGGTAGCGGGTGGTTTGCACCTGCCTAAGCACTGCCGAGATTGTGCTTGTGAACCGATGGCGGCGGAAACAGATTGTTCAGCCATCAGCATCCCAACACGAGGGAGATAATGAACGCCTTCTTAATCAGCAAAGAAGATGATAGATACGCAAGCTATCCGTCTGTTGCTTTCAGCGAAAAGGAGGTTCAGTTTCTTAAGTGTAACTTGTCTTGACTAGCGCCGGATTAGGGTGCGTCCAGGTTTGGATGTGTAAGTTGGTCTAGTTTTGTATGTACTTGTTTTGACGCACGTAGGTGTTCCACGTGTCTTGTGGGAGCGCTGCTGAGCACCCACGATGGAAAACGTGTCTGACATCGCCTCCTTGTTTTCTTGTCAGTTTGACTAGTTTTTTTCCGCTGATAGACCACGGTTCGTTGCCACAGAAGTGAATGCCAGTTACACGGAGAGCCCGTGTCACACAGAGCGTTTTTAGAGGCCCTTTTATTTTTTTTCTGTGTTTTGTGAACTGACCACCCTAACCCCAGTGAGCAGCTTAGGTCTGGCATTGAGGACACTTGTTACGCCCGGTGCGTTTCACTCCGAATCTCAAGACGTCTACTATAAAAATCCGCCTCGCATGCATCCGCCTCGCATGCAAGAGGTCCGTGGTTCAAATCCCGGTACCGCGCAGTTCCCAACCGGATTAAAAAAAAATCCGTATGTTGATGGAACTGCATTAAGAGGCCTGGGGTGCGGCCTCACCGGCAAACACCGCCGAGAACGCACTCCCTCACCAGAGAAGAATTGGCCACCCTGGTGCAGTATCTGGCCACTACCTCCCACATGCTTACTTCAAATAACTCACGGCCCTCAGTCCCCAGCAGCTGCGAAGCAAGTGACCACGGCGGCGGTCAGATCTGCAACGGAGCAGAGGGTGCTAAGAATCTCTGGATCCGGACAGGCCGCCATTGGAACCTGAACTTGGCAACGTTTAATGCTAGAACCTTATCTAGTGAGGGAAGTCTAGCTGTACTATTCGAGGAGCTAGAGGGTGTTAAATAAGATATAATAGGGCTCAGTGAGGTTAGGAGGACAGATGAGGCCTATACGGTGCTACAGAATGGGCACGTCCTTTGCTATAGGGGCTTGGCCGACAGAAGAGAACTGGGAGTGGGGTTTCTAATTCACAGAAACATAGCTGACAACATAGAGGAATACTATAGCATTAATGAAAGGGTGGTAGGTATCGTAATTAAACTGAATAAAAGATACAAGATGAAGGTAGTACAGGCTTACGCGCCTACATCCAGCCATGATGACGCTTCAGTTGAAAGCTTCTACGAAGACGTGGAATCGGCAATGAGTAAGGTAAAAACACAGTATACTATAGTGATGGGCGACTTTAATGCAAAGGTAGGAAAGAAGCAGGCTGGAGACCAGGCAGTAGGAGATTATGGCATCGGTACTAGAAACGCCAGAGGAGAGCTACTAGTAGAATTCGCCGAACGCAATAATTTACGGATTTTGAATACCTTCTACCAAAAACGAGAAAACCGCAAGTGGACATGGAAGAGCCCTTATGGCAAAAATAAGAACGAAATAGACTTTATAATGAGTGCACACCCTGGAATCGTACAGGATGTGGAAGTGATTGGCAAGGTACGATGCAGTGACCATAGAATGGTACGGTCTCGAATTCGCCTAGACTTCAAGAAGGAACGGCAGAAACTGATACGCAAGAAGCCAATAAATCAGCTAGCACTGAGAGGGAAAGTACAGGAATTCAGAGTGTCGCTGCAGAACAGGTACTCGGCTCTTAGTGAGGAAACCAACCTTAGCGTAGATACAATGAATGATAATCTGACGAGTATCATTACGGAGTGTGCAGTGGAAGTTGGAGGCAGGGTAGTTAGACAGGACACTGGCAAGCTTTCCCAGAAAACGAAGAACCTAATTAAGAAGCGTCAAATCAAGAAAGTGTCAAGTACAACAGACAAAATAGAACTGGCAGAGCTTTCGAAGTTGATTAATAGACGTAAGGTATGCGATGTAAGAAGGTATAACATGGAGAGAATTGAACACGCTCTGAAAAACGGAGGAAGTGTCAAAGCATTGAAGAGGAAACTTGGGATAGGCAAAAGTCGGATGTATGCACTAAGGGACAAAGAAGGCAAAATAACTACCAATATGGATAGGATAGGTAAAATAGCGGAGGAGTTTTACAGAGATCTGTACAGTAGCCGAGACAACCACGACCTTAATACTATAAGAACTAGCAGTAACCCAGATTACACCACACCAGTAATGATAGAAGAAGTCAGAAAAGCTTTGGAGAGCATGCAAAGGGGCAAGGCTGCTGGTGAGGATCAGGTAACATCAGATCTGCTGAAAGATGGAGGACAGATTGTGTTAGAAAAACTAGCCACCCTGTTTACGAGGTGTCTCCTGACGGGAAGAGTACCAGAGTCTTGGAAGAACGCTAACATCATCTTAATACATAAGAAAGGAGATGACAAGGACTTGAAGAATTACAGGCCGATCAGCTTGCTCTCTGTAGTATACAAGCCATTTACAAAGGTAATTGCTAACAGAGTAAAGAAAACATTAGAATTCAATCAACCAAAGGAACAAGCAGGATTTCGAACAGGCTACTCAACAATTGACCACATTCATACTATCAATCAGGTAATAGAGAAATGCTCAGAGTATAACCAACCCCTATACATAGCCTTCATAGATTACGAGAAGGCGTTTGATTCACTAGAAATATCAGCCGTCATGCAAACACTGCGGAATCAGGGCGTAGATGAAGTATATATAAACATTCTGGAAGAAATCTACAGGGGATCAACTGCTACGATAGTGCTTCATAAGAAAAGCAACAGAATACCAATCAAGAAGGGTGTAAGGCAGGGGGACACAATTTCCCCAATGCTATTTACCGCGTGCTTACAGGAGGTTTTCAGAAGCCTAGAATGGGAACAGTTAGGGATAAGAGTCAATGGAGAATACCTTAGTAACCTGCGCTTCGCCGATGACATTGCATTGCTGAGTAACTCGGGGGACGAATTGCAACTCATGATTACGGAGTTAGACAAGGAGAGCAGAAAGGTGGGTCTTAAAGTTAATCATCAGAAAACGAAAGTAATGTACAACAACCTCGGCAAGGAGCAGCGCTTCGAGATAGGTAATAGTGGACTTGAAGTTGTAAAAAACTATGTCTACTTAGGGCAGGTAATAACCGCAGAGCCGAACTACGAGATTGAAGTAACTAGAAGAATAAGAATGGGGTGGAGCACATTCGGCAAGCACTCTCAAATTATGACAGGTAGTTTGCCACTATCCCTCAAGAGGAAGGTATATAACAGCTGTATCTTGCCGGTACTTAGCTACGGAGCAGAAACCTGGAGACTTACAAAGAGGGTTCAGCTTAAATTGAGGACTACGCAGCGAGCAATGGAAAGAAAAAAAATGGTAGGTGTAACCTTAAGAGACAAGAAGAGAGCAGAGTGGATTAGGGAACAAACGGGGGTTAAGGATATCATAGCTGAAATCAAGAAGAAGAAATGGACATGGGCAGGGCATGTAGCGCGTAGACAGGATAACCGCTGGTCATTGAGGGTAACTGACTGGATTCCCAGAGAAGGGAAGCGGGTTAGAGGGAGACAGAAGGTTAGGTGGGCAGATGAGATTAAGAAGTTTGGGGGTATAAATTGGCAGCAGCAAGCACAGGACCAGGTTAACTGGCGGAACATGGGAGAGGCCTTTGTCCTGCAGTGGACGTAGTCAGGCTGATGATGATGATGATGATGATGATTATAAAAATGGCCACGCCAAGCACAAGCGTTCTAGTGAACTCAAACGACTTCCCAACGCAATCTGACGAAAACGAGACAATGGAAGCATTCACAGTCTACGTTGTCATCAAAATCATGTACCAGACCTCGTGTCAATGACATGGCAGCGGGCTCCTCTACCGGCACCAGCGAACTTCTTGACAACGGGAAACAAAAGAATAACGCCATGTACTACCGACGCCAAGTGTCACCGAACGGACTGCACGCCGAACGGGTGAGTCGGTCCCTCTATACTGTTTTGATCAGGCCGCTAAACAAAGTGCATGTGACAGACATTCCGAAACAAGCCCTTATAGACACCTTAGAGCAAAGCGCTTCGTCAACGTTTATTGGAGAAATGTCAATTCTCCGCTTTGCCATAACCAGTAACTGCGTGACGAAGGTCATTTTCGCAAACTATGCACACACTCGCGCTTAGTGTTTTCAGTCAATGGTAGCTTGCAAGTAATTGATGTTGACACATCGCCTCTTCAGCCACACGCAGTGGGCAGCTCTCATAGAGTAATAAAGATCAGGCCCAGCCTAACAATTGAATACCTCAAAGTGCATTTGCGCTGCGAACAGGCAACAATCACCGATGTGCGCATGCTCGGTAAAACACAGCTGCTGCCTTTGACATTTGATACAATCTCCATGCCGCAACGCTTGATGTTTGAATATGAAGTAATCCGTATTCACGAATATCAGCCTCACCCGGTCGCATGATACAGCTGTCATCGTTTGGGCCATGTTGCCAAATACTATTCCTTCCTGCCGGTATGCCCGGACTGTGGCAAAGCTCCGCGTGAGGCCGACCCAAACTGTAAGCAGATTTTTCATTGCGTGGCTTGTGGAGCATCCAAACACATGTCACTCAGCCCTAATTGTCCTGAACAAAATATACTGAATCAGCCCTTCCTCGCAACACTAATGATTCATCATGCACGACATCTGCCAAACACCTACCCCTCCGACGCCTCAGAAAGTAACCTGGGCTCAAACAGCTGCTTCTTCCAATCTGACTCAGCTTATCAACAGCCTTCGCCAAGAAGTACAAGAATTACGGCAGGAAAATCGGAGACTTCGCGATCTCATGCTGGACCAAAAGAAAGGGAATCGGTCCCCAACGTCAAGCCACTCTCAGTCTCGAAATAAAAGACAGAGCCGTTCTATGACACGTCGTTTTAAACCGGTAACAGACAAAGACTCCGCGCACTCTCACACTCTTCGGCTCCTGCGACAAGAACGGGCTCAAGAATCCAACAAGCTGGAGCATGCTATTCGGTCGGAGAAAGTTAACACTCTAACACAAGCTCTTGATACCATGCAAACATCATTTCAAAATATGCTTGATGATCTGCAGCGCAATGCCCTCGCTGACGACAATAAGCGCCGCAAACCAGGGCCTCCCTCGTGAGCTCTTTCGCTCAGGGTGTGCAGTAGAATTGTCGCAGTTTTAACCACACGCACTCCAGTATCCGTAATTGTTATAGCCCGGTCACACGGGCACCCGTGAACACCGTTTAACTCCATCGTTCTTACGACAAGAGAGATGGGGTCCATGTCAGACGGCCACCCTTACGCAAATGAAGGTAAACGGAGCATTTCACAAAGGGCGTTCGACGATCTCCCTTTGCTGGGGAACGAGGTACGCTCGTTCCCAGTATCTGCAGGTAAGGAAACATTTTGAGTACCAAATTGCCATAGTGAGTACAAAAATACGTCTTGACAGTATTAAACGTTATATTGTTGCAGTATTCATTCATAACGTCTTTTTTACATACATACACGCTCGCCGGAGTGCAGCTGCTCTCCACACCAATGCCCTTCAGACCGTGCCTCGCGAGTCGGGATGGGCACCGCTATTAAAAAAATATATTTCGTCCGTGCGTGCGGTTGTAGTCGTCGCCGTGTTTGCGTTTGCCTGTGTCAGGAATGACTGGCAGCGCTGCGTCATCGTCAGCTGTTTCGTCGGCTGCAGGAATGGTTATAGAACCCGACCTAATTGAAGGAAAACTTGGAGTGCTCTCCCGATAAAAGAACACACAAAACTTTCGTATACATTGTAGCCCATGTCTTATCGGGTCGGGCTCCGCTGCCCTCTCCGCTCGACCGCTTGCTCGTAAACCCACCCAGCTAAAACTGTCTCAATAACTAGTCGTCGAGCACGGCGAAATTGTAAACAAGCATAGCGTTGGGCACCAGGTAGCCAGCGTCGCTACCAACATCGTTACGTTTAGCGAATAAGTTTTTATTTGAAATAATTTTAATGATTTGTTCACTTCAGATCTACTAAACATTGTGATTTTGTAAAAACTACATGAGAAAAATCCACAAAAATAGCAACTAGAGATGAAATAATGATACTTTTTTGAAAATCAAACAGCTTTGGCTGAGTCCACTCGCGGCAACTAATATAACCTTGTCATTGCCGTGTGACACTCCCACAACTCCACCTCCGTCAAACTCCCTGGGGAAGATTGAGGTTGACGGAGTTTAACAGAGTTCTGTAGTGACCGTGTGACAGGGCATCACCCCGTGTTCCTTCTTCTCCAAGAGACGCGCGGCACGTGCTCACTTCCTGGTTACCGTGCTTTTCAGACGCCAATCATCAAACATAAGCGGCTTCTTCCCAAACGCCAGGCAGTGCTCTTGGTGCGTAATGACTGCCCGGCCACTAAATTGGGCATTCCTGATCTCAGATCTAATACTCGCGAAATAGTAGCTGGTAAAATTTGTCTTCCTGTCCAAAAGTCCTTCGTGGCCGTGCCTGCGAATTTTCTTCCTGGATATATTTCAGTTGGACCATACACATGGCTGGAGACCCTTAAGCAAGCATCTAAGAACCTCCGTCTGCTCATTGGAGGGGATTGTAATGCTCATTACCCTGCTTGAGTACCGAAAACCGAATAAATGCGGAAAATATCTTTACGATGCTATTAAAATCTCTTCTGCAGAAATTTGTAACGCCCCCGACACACCTACAAGAATAGGACTACATAGAGCGCAGAGAGACACGACCCCAGATTTTACCCTCGCCAGCCCCCAATTTGTACGACACTGGACAGTCTCCAGCCAGGCATGGGGCAGTGATCATCTCCCAATATTTGTGGCACTTCATCGAAAACACCTTCGGATCAAAGCAGCAACAACGATATATTAGAATACTTTTCGCAGTAATGTTACTGGATCTTTCTAGACAGTTGTGGGCCTTTTGGACATTGTCCAACAATCCCGTGAGCTGGCACGCAAAACAGTGGCATGCAAAGACCATACTCAACAGATAGATAACCATTAAGACAATTTATGGAAACAACAGACTATATAGTCAGAAGATACTGCTCGCACGGCAAACGACACTATGACCTCATGAAAATTAAGCGCCAATTTAAGCTTATCAATGAATATCAGCTCCACCTTCAATGTGAAGCCTGGCAATCCACCTGCGAGCGCCTTGGCCGTGTACCGGGATTCCAAGGTCTTGGCGCATTTTTAATAGCCTCAGCGGGAAAGGAAAGGGCAACCCTCCTCTGGCCGAGCTGGTCCTCAAAGCAGATCCGTCACTTGTGGAAGACAATTACCCCTTTCTTTCCCCATGCTTCACTCACTCCGCCTACATCTCTGAAAGCCTGCACCATAACGCAACCTGATCCGAACTCGATCGCCCATTTAGCATGGGAGAAATGCTAGCAGCCAATAAACACAGGACGTCCTCAATCGGCGCCTGGCCACGACCTAATCACATGACAAAGCTCCGCGACCTCAGAAATGAAGCCTAGGACGCACTTTTGGCGGTAATCAATGACCTCTGGCCTGGCCTCAGGAAATGTTCCGGAGAACCTTAAGTTGTCTTTCATTTATCCTATTTCGAAACATGAAAAGGAGAAGACCCTCTGCAAGAACCTCCGGCCAATATCTTTAACGTCTGCTTTATGTAAGCTCATTGAACGCATGATTCACACACGCATATCCAATTACCTCGAGATAACCCAGCCGAGATACTGTCCACACCAGGCGGGTTTTCACCCTAACCTTGTCACCCATGACTGCCTTTGGCTGTGACGGCATGTTATAAATCGTACGTCATGAAAGATATTACCTGACTACTTGCTGGCCGTCGACATGGCAGAAAGCGTTCGATATTGTTTACCACAACGCTATTCTTGAAGAACGAGCTAAGCGCTACCCAAGTCAACGTGCGCAGACATGGATTCGAAATTCCCTTGCAGCTCGGCCCCTTCATTTAAGCGGTTGGATGGAGCACCTGGATGGAGCCTCACCTGGATGGAGCCCAAAGACTTACTACTTGGACAGAGGTGTTCCACAGGGATATATTTTAGGACCGACACTGTTTAATCTCGCCATGTGCAGGGTAGCAGAAAACCTTGAACGGGACACCACGGCTACATTCGCCATCTACGCTGATGATATTACTTTATGGACAGAGGCAGTGGATTATTCTGACAAAGAATCAATGCAGACCGAGCTGCAGGCAGCCTTCGTTAGTTTGGAGTACAGTCTTATTGAAGTAGGCCTGCAGCTTGCTCCACATAAGACAGAACTTATAAGCATAGACGGCAACAATTGCACCAACCCAAAAATGTGCACCTCACTCCATATAGGATCACTAACTATACAATAAAAAAAAAACAGACAAATCAAAGTTTTAGGTTTACCAATAGCCAGTTGCAACAGCCTACAAAAGCGGGTTTGTGGAGTGTGGCAGGCATGGCCAGCCAGGTTACATATGATACGTCGTCTTTCCAGCAAATAAGGTGGGGCACGACAACAAGCCTGTCGCCCTCTCGCAAGAGCTGCGCCGTTGGAAAGATTTTGTAGGGCGAACTCATATACACATTCTCTCCAACGGACATCTAAAATTTGGAACGACTTCATCGGGCTACTCTCCGTACTATCACGGGGCTCCCTAAACACACTAAGGTATCCGCCCTTGAAAGCGAAGGGGGCATGCCCCCTCTGCAAGACGTCATCCGTGAAGCTAACACTCGACACCGCATTGGCCTGGAAAACACGCCGCAAGGTCGTCGCCTTCTGGCCTGGGATTGTCAGCGACATGATGATGCACTTCTTCTTAATCAGTGCTTACCCCCATAGGAAACTTCAATAGCCTCTCGACTATTCCGTCACCCCATATCTCGTCGCAATAATACTGCCCGCCAGTTTCTTGCCGCGCGAGAACTAAAGGAAGCGAGCTTCGATACCATCGACATATACACAGACGCTGCCCTCTCCGATGGCGAAGCTTGTATAGCATGGATCTGTGCGCAGACCACCGAGTTAACTGGGGCCTAGAGGTGCCATCTATCGCACGGTACCCCTATGCACGCCGAACTACTTGCCATATGGGGAGCGACTGCAAGCCTCCCGTACACTATACATAAACCAAGGGCTTGGTGTCACTGCTTTTGTAAGGCCCGCGGGACGGCTTTCAGCGCTTCCATAGTAGAGTATCTGGTACTCTGAATCGTTACCCTTTTTTTCTAAACATACAGAAACCCCTTCGTGTCTTTACCGACTCGCACGCGGCCTACTCTGAAATATTCCGCCCAGCCTCGGAGGATACTACAGCTGCTGCTATTCAAAGCATCATTCGTAGGCATAAAAAAGCCGACAGGCCAATAGAAACTATCTGGACGCCGGGGCATACGGGTGTGCCCTGGGGCAATACGGCGGCACATGCCGCTGCTGCTTCCGCAGGTGGGTCGACCAATGTTTCTCTGCCCCCACCTCTCAGAATGAACCCGTATGAGCTCTTAAGTCAAATGGTTCCCTCGGTAATCACAAAGCACTACGTACGTACGTCCCTGCGTCATGCTGGTAAAAAACGCATTGCGAAGGTTACCACACTAGCCGTATTTGCCAGGAAATGTCCGCTTTCACGTTCGTAAGAAGTCTTTATTAATAAGGTGTACGCAAATTCTGCATATACACCACGCTCTTTAGCAAAATAGTGACAACCGGATATTGCGACAGTGACGTGCAATCATTGCAGGCTGCGCTGCCGCGCCGACCTTCACCACTTACTATGGCAGTGTTCTGCATTTGAAAAAGGGCGAATGACCATACAAGCTTTTCAAACCACAAATTATCATGAAGCGCTCCCTACGGACCCGGAAGCAATTATTACTTGCCCAATACGCAAGTCAGAGTGGCCTGATCAGAGTAGTTTAGGGGGTCCGACAAACCGCAGTACTAGCCCTATACTATCATGAATACCATAAGCGTAGAATCCGCGACACTGTGAAGTAGTAGTGTAGTTAGAAAATCTTGCTTATCCCCACAGAGGTCCTGTGCTTCCTTTTTTTTCTTTTTTTGATAAAGGACTTTTCATCCATTTATCCACGTGTCTTGAAAATTTTGTATGCCACTCGGATGGCTCGGCCGCATCTGTGCAGTTGCTTACTCGATAGCAAGTTGGCCTATATATTTATTGATGCTATTCCTTCTAATAAATTCTAGTTAAGAGTCAGCCCTCGTGTTGTCAAAATATTCGTCCACATCCTCGTTTTCTCTGGCTCTCTAAGCTGATCAAAAATAAACTATCCCCATTAAGCCCATATTTTTCCTTCTTGTTAAAGTGGCTCCTTATTCGTATGATGTCTATAGACGAGTGTGACGAAATACACATTTTATTTTTTTATAGACAGATGTGTATAACTTTACACGTACTATATATGTAAAAAACTTTCGCAAGGGCACCCGTCGATTCAGAGAAGGCGTCAGATCAACTCTTGAATGTCATAGTGCCGGTGTGATTGTGAAGCGTTTCATGCGGTGGACGCCAAGTAGCACCTTCTTTGCATGTAAAATAATGTTCTCAGCTTGCACTACTTGTGCAAGACTGTAGCCATCAGGGGAGCTTCTAACCACGTAGCTTCAAGGTTTTTGCGTGACTTGTCCACTGAGTGTGCTAGGTCTGCAACAAAGGGAAGACTAAGCCAGTCCTGTCTCAATTTTGATGGTATAACCTGCTAGGCCTAAATAGAGTCGGTCTGAATTCATGTTTTAGTTAACACGATAATATTTATATCAGGTTTTATAGGAAAACGTAAATATTTTAGCATAAGTGTACGTAACGATAATATAGTTTGAATTTGTCAGCTTGATTTTATTTGGTACTACCTCTTAGGGACTTGTTCTTATTTGGGACCCTGTTCTTAGGGACCCCAGCTCTTATTTGCTACTTAGGGACATGTTGATTAAAATATATCCTAATTAGCTTGGTGGTTGCTCTCTATGGCTTACTTATGATAGTATAACGTGATAAGCTCGGTCCTAGAATACGAATTATTCACTTTGTCATAGTACGGCGTGACTGAATTAGCTAGGCTTACCGTCAGGCACTCGCACTTGGTTACTGAGCAGATGATGAAGATGACAAACAAAGTCCGCGCCGGGCGAGCAATGCACTAGAATATACCATCAGTTACTGGAACCAGGTCAAGTTTCGAAGCTCCCCGTAGCGCGCTCTCAGAAGTGGCCGTGGTGGCCGACGCGAGAACTAGTGGCGCTGCTGTGTCATTTTGCTGCAAGCCGCGCGCGTCGTCTGCGGCAGCGCGAGTGATCCACATTGTCGTCGCAGCTCTCGCCAGTCGTGATAACCGAGATGCGCAATTGACACTTGCGCGGTAAATTCAACTACATCAAAAAAGAAAATTTGCAAAACAATTGCTCCATATCCACCACTAAAATTCAGGAGCATTACCAACCAGGAAAATAATTACTTATTTATTTACTTATTTATTTACCGACAGTCCCCAGAACGCTGTTTTTAGGCGGAATCGGCTGGGCCAGAGAAGCTTGTGTTGGCCGCTAATTCATAATACTTTAGAAAAATAAACTGAGCGAAACACTAGACGCCAGAATAGAAGTACACAGGCTGAGTTCTTAGTTGGCGTTCGTTCTTCTATTCCGATTTATTTTTGCAGTCGGCTGGGCATCTTTTACGCTCTTTCCTGTGTTCGTCAGCCTGTAAAATTCCCCAGCCAAATGGCCATGCGCTATAATGAAAACACTTTTCAGAAATACAGTTTGCTCAAGGTGGCCATTTTTTTGAATGCGCAGTTATTAGCCATCTTTCTCGCAAGAGCATTCTCTCGTGAGGGCATAAAAATCGCAGTTATCATGTCAACTACGACGTTGCTCTAAAGGAGCAGCGTTTCCCAGGACCCAATAAAGTTCTTTGTCTGTCCGTCTGTCTGTCTGTCTGTCTGTCTGTCTGTCTGTCTGTCTGTCTGTCTGTCTGTCTGTCTGTCTGTCTGTCTGTCTGTCTGTCTGTCTGTCTGTCTGTCTGTCTGTCTGTCTGTCTGTCTGTCTGTCTGTCTGTCTGTCATGCTAACTCTCGCGCGAAATATGGCTCAAGTATTGACCATCTTTCTCGAATAATTTTACTGGGTTATTGCCGAACACTCGTTACTGCAGCGATGTCATATATGAAAGCCTTAGCAAAGGAAGAAGCTGAGCAAGGGTATTTTCGATTGCCGCATTCGAAACTGTGGAAAACTTTCGCTCAAGAGCCAGGATCTCCTCTTCTTTCTTTCTTTTTGCGGCAGCCGCAGGGGCAAACTTCTTTGGGAGACTGCGAACGTTTTGTTTTCTGGTTTTCACCACCTTTTCAGGCTTTCTGGCTCGCAGTGGCCTCTGTAGACACAGGCAAAGAAAGCTAGCGGGTCGCTTTGTTAACACTGTACAGCGTTTATGATGAACGGTAATGGTAGAGGGCAGAATTTCGAACTTCCATCTTGTTCAACAATAACAGTTTTTCGTAGTAGCAGCTCCTGGCACAATATTTCTGCAGTAAAAAACACCGTACGTCATCACTGACACGGCACCATCGATTAATTCTTGGCTACTGGACGCAAAAGGCATCGAGAAGTTCATCGCTTCATTGAACGTGAATGGTGTCGCTGATGAGACGTGTGACCTGCCCGGAGATGTGTCGTCGCTAGAATCACTCGACCGACTTCATCACCAAGACAGCCCAATTTCATTTTCTGGCATAAGCTCATCCCTAGCACCTTTTTTTTCTTTCGTGACCTCCTTGTTATTGTCGTCAAAAGGGCCTTCGAGATGCGCTCTGGCAGATCGGGAAAAAGGCGAGGCGCTAGCGCCCATTTTCCTGGAGGTGCAAGTATTTCAATTCCTTTTATAATGTGCTTATGATATTTGACATTATCGTCCACTCCAAAATGTCACTGACAAATCTTGGATTTGTGAGTCAGCCATGCGGTACATCATCTCTAACGCTTTTTAACGCGATAGTGGTAAAGAGTTCGTTTCGCAGAAATTACAGCATCGGCGTTCCTTTCGTTGGTTGTGAGCGAAAAATAATCATCCTGCGTACCAACCAGGTACACAGGATTGAAATGAAAAAATGAGAAAGATGGAAATAAAATAAAAGTCAAAAGTTCTGGGTCTGAGGCGGTGTCGATCCAGGGGAGTTTACGGGGCAAGCGGGTGTTTTACTACACAGCCACACGTCTGCTTTTTAGAACCTTTGTATTCAGAAATAAAGACATATTCATTAAACAATATTAGTCTACTTTGATGGTTTAAAGCGCTTCATTTTCACCAATTCATCAAACACGTACCTCTACACAATCTAGAGGTTAATTCAACGTTCGATATATCTTGCGCACATATTACACATCCAATGAAGTTTCTCGTGTCGATTTTGCTTTAGGATTGATGTGCCTCATGGCCATGCGTTTTATCTAGAGACTGCAAAGGCCCAGTAATAGTATCATGTATTATGGAACACCACCCTCACTCTGTACTGAAATATAACGTATTCCATGAGGTGTTACCGGTAGACATTTCTTCAGGGTCCTTTGTCTTTGTAGCTCATCTTAAAAGAATATTTGATTCCAGCACTGGCTCACAGCATGTTGGACCGTTTACGGTTCGTTACACAGAGTGCAGTTTGTGTCCATGCAGGGCATAGCCGAAGGGTGGCACACGATACCCTTGCCCCCCCCCCCTCCCCCAATTTTTTTCGCGATAGCATAGAGAGCAACAAATGATCATTTCAAGGGTGTGCCTTTGCCGAAATGAAGCAGGTGCCCCCCGCCCAATTCCCACCTCGTAAAAAACTTCTGCCTAGCTTTGCTTGACTCTGGTAGATGCGCTGGAAACAACAGTACCTTGAAACATTATTGGGGTACAACGCAACATCAGCGTCCCAACACTCGTTGAAGGACGCGCTTTTTCATCAATCAGTGAATAAGAATAATAAAGACTAAATCACAATACCCCATTACACAACGTTCAAGCGCTATCCCTTCCCCCCTCACCCTTCGACGCATTTACTCGACTTCCTCCTGCGGGAATATTCGGGCGGCTTTTTTTAAGCACATCGAGATCTCGGGGTGGTTCCAAGAAATGATGATCGGTGTCATTTCCGAAGCCGATTTTGCAGCCCGGGGCACAACATTAAGGTATTGTTTAATGGCATCTCTTGTCAAATGTTAGAACTCCTTCATAAGAGACGACAGTTCACTAAATAATGGCGCGAAGAAGCAACCAAGTGACGTAAACGTGTTGTCGTGTCTGGGCGGCAACACGCACGTCGTGACGCGCGGTGTGGTATGTGAAGCAAGACGGAACAGCAGCGTCATTAGTTCATGCGTCAGCCGCTTTCGCCGGCGCGCGCATGTAGCTGCGAAACTTACCGCGTTCTAGTAACGTTGGAATGTACA